CAATCATTGCTGAGCAGAGCACCGTTTAGTGAACCTCTTTGATCAGATTCTGTAATATTTTCGAAATGCACCTGAATCCAGACGGCCTGCGGCAGTAGAGTAGAGTAGATTTTACGTTTAATTGGCAAGCCGGTGTTCTTTTTTGTTCACGGGTAATTTACTGAGGTAAATGAACTTCAAATTCAGAAACAGCTGTTACTCTACTATTGGACCAGAGACAAATTTGGTACAAATTGATGCTCTAACTCACCCGTGCAAATGTGCATCGCACGGATACTTTGGAGAGTATCATACGGCGAGAACGAATATCATCACAGAACAGATAGATAGCAGCAGTTTGTTTCATAATCCCTTCAGCCGTGTAGAAAGATTTACGTTGGATAGACGGGAGAAGTGAGAGAACCTGTGTATGGATCTGAAACCAGGTGGCAGCCCTACCATGGCAAGGCAAGGCTTGCCACAAGGTCTAGCTGTTGGGAGAAGTCCTATTTGTGGCGCCAAATGACTACGGCCTCAGAAAACCGTTAGAATAGCCCGGCTTTCGGTTGGCCTAATACTCGCGTTGATGCAAAGTTGGCAGTCCAGTAGATGGTCGGGAATAGGGCTGAAATGAATCTTTGAGCCATTCCTGTGAATTGTCAGAGATACAAATCGATAATCGTCCATCAGTTCTTCTCATATGCTTGCCTCCGGAAATGCGCTAAAAAGGGTCAATAATTGAGGAGGTAGCTAGAGGTAGCTAGCTAGTTCCCCCACTCGTTCCTTCTAACTGGTCCAAGCGTGGCTAGTGACCGCTGACATTCGCGTTGTTTGGGCCAGTTAAGTTTTTCTGTGTTAAAACACGGATCATTCTTCTAATGGAGTTCGCTCACACGCATGTTTGTACACAGCTGAAGAGGTGACACGAAACAGTTGATTTCGATCTCTTCTGTGATGATGCTTGTTATCGATCTTACGAAATCCCTGAAGGGAACTGGAGGTATGCCATTTTTAAACTAGTGCCTCCCAGTTCAAAAAGGGCGCTCAATGAACACTGGTGTATTTACGATGTTCGATTGCACAGTACACTGTTCACTGAACGAATATGTTAAACCAATGCGGATGAACTATATTGTAAGAGATACGACTATCACTGTGTCTTTAAAAACTCAGAATAAATAATAAATAGTTGGGGTGGATGGAATCTTACCCGTGTTTAACTTCTCCGCTGCATAGTAATCTGACATGGGTATATTCACTCCACCGTTACTATCAGATGATCGTGAAACGGATCTGATTGGAGTCTGTTTTCTCTTCCGTAGAGCAATGCATATCGCACTGATAAGGATAGCAGAGATCATGAAGGAGATGGAAACAATCGAAATGATAATGTAGAAATTCAATGCGGATCCATCCTCCGGAGGTTTCCCATAACCATACTGGCTGTGGCTGTCAGCAAGATAGCCACCTGCATCGTCCATCGGATCACCAACTGGTACTGAGTCATCTACCTGAATGTATACGGTAGCTGTTGTCCGTAGGGAATGCGGGACGCCCATGTCCTGTGCTATCACCGTGACTGCAAAGAGGCTTCCGATATCAGCCGCGGTTAAAGTTTCCCCGAGCCGCAGAATGCCGGTTACCGGATGTACGGTAAATAGTTCAGTCAACGCAAAATGAGCATTTGTGCTCGTTGGCTGCGACTGTGTTGTATTGATCCTTGATGGTGGTTTTGTACAATTGTGGAAACGAATTTGTTCCAGTCGATATCTGACAGTTCCATTTGGGCCAGCATCACGATCGGTTGCCAGAAGCTGTAAAACGAGGATTAATACCCAAGGAAATAAGAGGTTAACGGTTGTGAAAAAACTATCCCAATAAATTTATTGTATAATACAGTGACCAAGACTTCTAAATTGCTCAGTGATGGTTAATAAACATGTATGTGTTAAGCGAAACAACTAGAAAACATTTGAGGAATTGGAAGCATAGTTCCCCCGTAACGAATTTGAATAAAGAAGCCAGAATCAGGTTTGCACAATGTATTCTGCAGTATGCCCGTGTACAGATGCAGCGAAATTATCCAGGATACATTGTGAAAACCCGTGTTTTTGGCTTCTTTATTCAAACTAGAAAACATTTTTGGGGGATTTAAAAATCAGAAATTTTCGAAAACCAGAACTTTGTTTTATAAAAGAGCGAATTACGTTTTAACTGATTCAATACCCACCTGACAAAGGTCAATCTGTTCATTTTAAAATGGGCAGTTTTTATTGATACAACCAATCAAAGCTTCAGTGTGAATTCCACAATGAAGGAACCTGACTGTCTTAGCGAAACATGGGAGTTGGGATTTTTCTTGGCCTCTGATTCTACGTACATAATTCAAAAATGAGTGGGTATCCAGTCCAGTCGGGGATACATTAAGTATTGATTTACTACGCGTATAAGATCTTGCGTTTTGGGTAATATTGCACTGCGGCTTTTGAGAAATAATTGTACGATCAGCAGAAAACAAGTCTATGAAGGGGATATCGGCATTTTATAGTATACTTTAAGGGCTTATCAGCTGAACGACAAATGTAGTGATAATTTTAGAAGCTTAAGAACTTCAATTCTCGAAATATGCTCATTAGCTAAGAACACATACTGTAGGTGAACATGTTTTCGGTGAATTTCTTTCCAAGCATTCACGACTACATTTATATTAAACACTTCCAATGAAGTGAGAAAGAAAGGAGGATGAGTTATGAACTCAAAAGAACTCCAAATATGCAAGCTGTTTGGATTACTTAACCAAAACTCGTTATGTTACGTCATGGGCATGTGGACAAGCGATCATCTCTTCCCTTAGTTACGGGAGTTTGAGCGCTTAGATAAGTTTCCGTTCTGCGCACATCCCAGGCTTCATAAGTCGGATGAAAATCGCCTCTGCGATTGCTAACGTCGGAAGCCGAATTGCTCTCGAGGGGTGTGGTAAAACACGATACATGATTGTAAATGCTGAACGCATATCAACCAAGTATCCCATCTTTACCAGATATCAGTGCTGTTACCGAAACGTGGCTGTCAGCTGCAATTATCGATTCCGAACTCTCATTACCAAATATATCTCTACTAGGATGCGATCGCCTCACACATGGCGGTGGTGCTTTACTTTATGTTCACGACGATCTTCAGTTCGAATTAATCAATCATACGCTTTAGGCTCCTAACAAACTTTGGTTTGGGTTAGGAATGGATTAAGGGTTGAGGGATGAAGAGCTGATGGTGTAATCCATCCTTGTGATTGCCCCTGGGACGCAGCGATCATGGCGTGCTTGTATTTATATGTACCTATTAAGCTTCTGTTCAAGGAAAATTTCCAGATGACACGCACAAATCCATAAATTGTACAAGGTTGCAAATCCACTCAGTTGATTTCTTGTAGCTAAGATCCTTGTCCGTTGGTTCCCAAGCAGAAATTTATTGATAGTCTCACAAACCTACTAATATCAATGACTAAAACTAGAGTAATCATCATCTAGCTTCTTCATGTAGCATCCCAAAATCACCTATATGAAGTGGCACGCGGAAGTGGATTTCCTCAGGAATCTATCCTGGCCAGGTTATAATTGTCTTCCGGATGTCTTCAGTTGGAATAATTATCGTATGTTGGGAAACTACTGCATCAGGGTGATTAATAAGGATAAGCTGATATACCAAGAGGCGCTAGCACAGAGATTCATCTCTAGCCCTAAGATGCTGTATAAGCATGGTAATTCAATTCGGAAAGTCAAGTTTGGTTTACCGGCACGAAGCTGCGCTGGGATAGTTGCAGCCGCTGCAACGGAAACCGCTTAAATACAGATA